CAAATCATTTTGCTGGAGGAAACTTGAGAAGCAGTTTGGCATAGCTTTTTGAGCTATTAAAATGTCACCTTGGTGGATTTCAGGAGTAGACACAGATAGGTGGCTTTCTAACTCTTCATATTGAAATTAGATTGCTATCCTTACTGTTGAGGAAGACAAGCAGTGAGTCCAAAGCAGAAGGGCAATTCGATGGATAAATTCACACTTTAACACTCTCAGAAATGTCTGCATTTTTAAAAGATCCTCTCTTAGCCCAAATAAATCTGGAATGGGGGTAATTTTTGCAATGTAACACTGCAATAAAAGCAAACCAAGTAATGCACAAGAAACTGTTTCAGAATCGGGCACAACACAGGCCGACCAGCCCTGTCTAGAAGTCTGTGCTCCTGGAAGTTGTTTCTGCTTTTTCAGAGCCTTTTCCTGCCCCCAACTTCTAGTCTTACTGACTCCCTAAAAGCTTCAATATTGTTGTCTGTTGTTGTTGTTGTTGTTGTTAAATAATGAGTCCCAGAAGCAGATGTAGAGGCTAGAGAAAGAAAGGTGGCAAGGAGCAGCCAGTAGGTAGACAGGGCACAGAGACAGGGCAGGCAGTTCTCTGTACAGCTTGGTTATTGTGAGTCAGGTGTGTATACATCATGGATTGACAATGGTTTGTTACAAATATGTCTGTGTATGGATGTATTTGTCCGAAAATATCAGAAGTGTAAAAAGAATGGCAAATCACAGTTAAGAAAGTCCAGCTGTTGATGGCAAACGCTTGGAAAATATCGAGCTCCATTGCTCCCTTGGGCTGGATTGATATTGCCTATGATCTTCCTTCAAGAAAAACACAACCGGTTTGGCCATCCATTTTTATTAACTCTCCATTGTTGGACGAACCTTTATGCACGCCCTTGAATATCAGGACTAAGTTTGTTTCACTCCATGTAGAACTGTCTTACTGGATATAATTTTCCAGAAAGTCGATTTTGCCTTCAGGACAAGTAGGAACATCTGTGAATATTCTGCCCCTATTCTGCCAACTTTGGTTTAAGTTTTAAGACATCATTTCAGGAATAAGGAAAACCATTTTTAAAAATTTCTGATGGAATAACTTCAGGACCAGCGTGCTTGCTATGTGAGTAACATCGATCTTACATCTATCCTCCAACAAATGAAGGCTGAGGAACTCTTCTTTGGCTGAGGTAGAGGTAGTCAAAAGGAACTGGGTCTTAGCTGTTCAGTGTTGATGTTAATGCCCATGGAACAAAAAAAAAGGGGCAGGATGAGCTTGCATGGGTGTGGGGAGTGTTGTGATGAAGACCTAGGATGCAAAATTGAAAGCTCAGCACTGCTTATCAAAGCAAGCCCCATAGGTAATTTTAAATATTTTAGCAGCCACTTAAAAAAAGTAAAAGGAACAGGTGTAACCAATAAATTGTAATGGTATATTTGATTGAAACCAATATATCCCATGTCTTATCATTTTGATATGTAATCAACACACAAAAAATTACTGACACATTACTTTTTTTTCTTCTTCCTCCTTTTTTTTTGAGACAAGATCTTATCTGTTGTCCAGGCTGGAGTACAGTGGTGCACTCACGGCTCACTAAAACCTGAAACTGCTGGACTCAGACGATCCTTGCTCCTTGGCCTCCCAAAGTGCTGGGATTTTAGGAATGAGACACGATGCCTGGCTTGATATGTAACTTTCTTTGTGGGGGGGGTTCTAAGTCCTCAAATCTGTTGTGTATTTTACTCTTAGGGCATATCTCAATTTGGACTAGCCACATCCCAAGATCTCAGGAGCCACTTGCGGGCAGTGGACAGAGCAGCTCTAGGCGGTGACCCAAGAGGAAAGACTTCATGATGATGAAAGCCATTTGTTATTTTTTAACCAATAAATAGATAATCTTATAAAATCTAAGTCAGAGAGCATTAAGAAGACTAATGAGAAAAAATTAAGCAAATTAACTTTGGATAGGAATTCCCAAGAAATAGCCTGGCAAAGGAAGATTTATTTGACAAGGGTAGAATTCACTGAGTAGGCTTCAGGTGCATGTAAGGGGATATGTTTTTTACTTGGAATTAAAAGATGATGGTGGAGTTCATTCAAAAACATTCTCAGTGTTCTTAAGGTAAGAAAAACAGCTGAAGCTGATATGCTTAATTATTGCCCGGTATTTAAGTGATACCCCAACTATATGTGAAATTATATATAATTCATTATATTATGAGTTATATATAATGAATACATATTATGATATATAAAAATAGATACATTCATATATATGAATTACATATACATTATATATAAATTATATATATAACATTTCTGAGAATGTTATATATATACAAAGTTTACATGTGTGTGTGTCCATCTATATATAAAGTGCTTTGCTAAGAGTGAGAGTCGTATGCATACATGGGTTATTTTCATGACTAAAGAAAGGCTATACTGTGGAGATGAGCTATCAGATAAAATCCATCATGACAGAGCATCACTAATTATCAGAAACTTGCTCTCCAGGTGGGCAATAGAGAAGTCATCGAGATGAGGAAGGGCTGCCTTCCTGTCAGGAGCATCTTAGATTTGTTTTATCAAAACATTTACTACCCATATCTGCAGCCCTCAGCCCATTACCCTCATTATGTATTTAGTGTGAAGACATGTACTACTCAATAATTAGTTTTTTCCCTCACTGCGGGCTTTCAGTGGCTTCATAAAAGTGATAAATGGCCCTTCTTGGACACGCAAAATAAAGATTGGCAGGCAATTTAAAGTTAAGATTTCCCAGTAGAACCATCACTACCAACAAGCTCATACACTGACTCTTCGATATTCTGAGAAATGTTAAAATAAGGCCAAGATTTTTATGTCCCCACTTTCTAGTACCCCAAAGGCTTTCCTGTCCTTCATTTCTCCTATGCGGGCTGTCTCTGAACTTTCCCTGTTGTGTCTTTTTGGAGGACACAGACAAACGCGAATGCTCCTAAAATCAGTCATTTCAAGTGCCTCTGGGTTTTGCTGAGACAATTGTTTATGTGAGAAAAATTACTTCCTTGGGAAATGGCTTAGGAAGACACAAAAACATTTTTATACCAGAAGACAGGTGAATTATTTGGCAGCATATCTTGTAAATCAGTGCACTCCGAACCTTTTATAAATAGCCTGCTCTGCAATACTCCATGTAATTATAATAATAACTCTTTATTAAAGTAGAGGGTTTTCTCACATATTTGAGCTTTACCACAACCTTGTGAGGGCATTCAAAAGATTCTACTTTTTTGATACAGGAACTGAAGCCAGAACATTTGACTAATTTGCCCAAGGTCACACAGCTGGTATTTAACACAACCGGCATCTAGTACTCTGGCCTTTACTCTACATCACCTCCTCTTCTACATCTTTGTAAGTGGTGGTTTCCAGCCCCACAACCTGGAAGCGGTAATTGCAACCAGACACTTTCCGAGGCTCTACTGCCATTTATTCAAACCCCGCCTCCTACAATTTCTGCCCACCAGTCCTTGGGCTCTTTTTCTCCCAAGGAATCTTGGTGGGAGTGGAGTGTCGGGGGATAAGTCCACATATGTCTAAACTTGGATTTGTGGGTTGGATCATGGCAGGCTCCTTTTTTGTTTGTTATGACTTTGTTTGGAAATCCATGGTATCATCTGTCACTCCCCATATTGTGGTGCAGCTGAAGCCAGCCCTCCAAAGATCCTGATGCTGCCCCTGTGTTTTAGTCTCACTTGCCTGGTGCAGCCAGAGGCTGTTCTAGCACGCAGCTGCAAAGGTAATTGCTGAGTAGGAACTTGCCCTTGGCCCCACCCTACCCTCCAGCTTCCATTGTGGCACCTACTGTTAAACACTGCCCTCAACAGAGTCTTTAAGGAAACTGCTCTTTTCATTTTTACTCACTTTTGACCGTCACCCTCTCTCCCTGAGCAGTTCACAGAGGCTGAGCCAGGTATAACTGGTAACTGGATAACTAGGTAACAAGCTCAACAATTCCTCCAACAGCACCCCATGGCCGTCATTCCTTTAGATGAGTTATTTCTCTGAGTATCTTTGGATCGCTCAAGCAAACAGACCTGGCAGGCCTACCCAAGCCAAACACGGCACATCTCTCATTTAGATCATTAAGCTAAGACCTCTACAATTCCTTCCAAACACTGTCTCCATTTTTTCCATTACACTTTTTGAACATCTACTGAATCACAGCCAGATTTTTCTGCCTGAACATCAAGGTCCTTTCCCAACTGTTTATTTAATCTTATTATCTTCCATGTCCCTCCATCTACTGATGTCAGAGAGAATCTTGTGTATAATGGGTATTTTCCATAAATATCAATGGGTTAACTGAGTAAATTACAAGCTACAGGTTATAGATTAGAGGCTGACTTTCTCAGGTATATTTCTAGATATATTTTATTAGTGATTAAAATATTTTTCACTCAGTCTTCAAAGCTGTTATCAGTATCTTTTTCATCTTGAAAATTCTCTTCCTTGTTACATTACATGAGTAAAGTTGTTAGCAGTCGATTAGTGGGGACTTTGTTATTAATGGGGGAAACATATTAACAGCATAGAAATGTGTTGCTATTAAACAAACCAGATTGCAAGTTGAACAAAAATCTGCTCAGAAGCTCATAATCTAAGAAAGGTTATAGTAATTTAGGTCTGTTCTATACAAGCATACACAAATACTCATAAATACATAATGGCATAGCATGAAAAAAACTAAACTTTGTGAGCATGAGTGCAAGTAAAATCATTTTATGTGATACAGAATTTAAAAATTAGTCATGAGAATTGCACCTTCAGAGAGTATATGGCCAGGTTAAAAAGAAATTAGTACTCACTTCCTTTTTGGAAAACCTTCAAGAGGGAAATGGCATTTCTAACACCTTTATACTACGAGGAGGAAGAAGTTGAGTTCCATGGAAGCCAATGAATCACATATGTCTCTCCTCCCAGATTTGAAATCAACCGAGAAATATGTATAGCTATCAGGAAGAGAGAAAATTAAATACTTTATTGCTGATCAAGCTAAATTAGAGACCATGCCTCAGACCCAAAGTGTCTTCTTATTTTCTTCTACTTTTATCCCAAATAGAACTCAGTGATTCCAGGTGAGTCAGATGGACACTTCCAGCCTGTGTGGAAGAGAGAGGGTCTGAGCAAAGATGATCAGACAGTTCTCAAAGGAGAAATACAGGGAGAATAAACCTCATCTGTCTGGTGACCCTTCACCCTATCTCACTCGTCAGATAAGTCAACAGCACATTTTCTGTAAAAGGCCAGATAGTAAATATTTTAGGCTTTGAGGACATGTGGTTTTGGTTCCAACCACTCAACTCTGCCGTTGTTACATGAGAGCAGCTGTAGACAATATATAAATAAGGGAGCGTAGCTGTTGTATTACTAGGGCTGCCATAACAAAGTACGATACTGGGTGACTTAAACAATAGAAATTTATTGTCTCACAGTTCTGGAACTGGAAGTCTGAGATCAATGTGTACACAAGGTTGGTTTCTTCTGAGGACTGTGAGAGAGAATGTGTTCTAGCACTGTCTGGTAGCTTCCAGCGGTTTGCTGGCAATCTGAGGTTACAATAACCTGGGCTGAAGCTTTGGTTAAAGAGTGAAAAAACGGCTGGGCGCAGTGGCTCACACCTGTAATCCCAGCACTTTGGGAGGCCGTGGTGGGCAGATCACTTGAGGTCAGGAATTTGAGACCAGCCTGCCCAACATGGTGAAACCCTGTCTCTACTAAAACTACAAAAATTAGCTGGGCATGGTGGGACACGCCTGTAATCCCAGCTACTTGGGAGGCTGAGGCAGGAGAATCACTTGAACCTGGAAGGCGGATGGTTGCAGTGAGCCAAGATCGTGCCACTGCACTCCAGGGCAACAAGAGTGAAACTCCGTCTCAAAAAACAAGAGTGAAAAAACATATTAAATTTAAAAAACACTTGTCTTTGCTCTAAGGACTCTAACACTTCTCTAAGACTCTCTTAATCTTAGAAGCTTCTAGTTATGCATTTTAATAGTATTTATTACTCCCCATCTTGTAAGAAAAGCAAGCAAGGCTGATTTGCATTGTAAAATTTTGCTTACGTATAATAGGATCTTTAGTGAATGTAGATATCACTTTAATCAGCAGTCCTCTTTTGGCACTTAATTTGTTATGATTGATCTTAGTCTTTAGTTTCCAGTGGTTTGCTGTGTATGTAACTTTTATTTACAAGCTTTTATGAGTCAACGGATAATTGGGAAGAGTGGTCTTAAGGGACATGCCACCCCCACCACCCTTTCTTCTGGAATACATTCCCCAAAATCTGCTCAAATATCAAGCTACATTACTAAAAACAGCCTGTGTCTGCTTCCAAATTGTCTTCATGGATTTACAATTAAACAATTGAGCTTTAATTAATAGCCCATTTTTTTTTTCTTTAAGAGCTGTAAAAAGAACATTTCTGCATCTTTTATGAAGCTTCTGTTAAAGACTCTCAATTTTATTACATGGGGCTAGTGTATAAAGAGCTAGGTAATTAGTTATTTTTAAACTTTAGTGGTGGAAGCAAGTAATCCCTCCTTATGAAATATTCCCTTCAATTAAGATAACCATGGTACAGAACTTTCTGAATATCCACTTTGCTTTGCCTTTTCAGAAGCTCAGAGACCAGTTTTGTACTTGACTCTGGTGGGGAGACTCAGCCTAAGATTTGCAATACAACTTGCTCTTCCTTCGCTTTATTATTTGGAGCTTTTAGTTTTTAATTTGTTTAATGATTTTATTACATAGTGCCTTTTATTGCAAAGAGACACAAAAATTATTTAAACATCAAATAATAAATAGTAAATGGTTGACTCTTATCATCACTTTGTGCAGGGAAATTACCATCTAATACAAACATAACATTTCAGCACAGAAATTGTCGCTTAAAAATCTGTGGGGGAAACAAACAAAAAAAATCACGGTAACCTAGGGTGGCATTAAAAGGTACCTAAGGTCACAAAGATTGGTTCACTGTAACCTCCACCTCCTGGGTTTGAGTGATTCTCAAACCTCCCGAGTAGATCACAAAGATCTGTATTAGGAGGGTAATTTCCCAGGACAGAGTGATGATAAGAGTCATCCCGAGTAGCTGAGATTACAGGCATACGCCCAGCTAATTTTTTTGTATTTTTAGTAGAGACGGAGTTTCGCCATGTTGGCCAAACTAGCCTCCAACTCCTGGCCTCAAGTGATCCGCCCTCCTCGGCCTACCAAAGTGCTGGGATTATAGGTATGAGTAACTGCGCCCAGCCAACATCAGCTTTTAAACAGAAAGAAATATTTAGATGTCAGTTCAATTATTTCCCTTTGAAAGAATTAAAATAAAATAAAATAAAATAAATTTCACTTAGCTTTTAGGATTATTTGGCTTGAAGATGACAGAAACCCAACTCAGTTTCATTTAATTACAAAAAATGTATCTATTGACTCAAATAATTTGGAAAACCAGAGCTTACGAGTCTAGCTTTAGATATGACTAGATTTAGAAATTCAAAATGTTTTTTTCTGCTTAAACTCGGTGTTGGCTGCATTATTGGGCAGGCTCTTCCCACAATGTAGCAAAAATGACCAGCAGCAGTTCTGAGTTTACGTTGTACTGGTGGCTGGAATTTCTCATAAAAATAAAAATAAGTCAGTTTTTCAATAGCTCTAACAGAAGACCCAGAGAGAGCTTTCACTGGCCTAGCTTTGGTCATGTGACCATCCCTGGATATAATCGCTATGAATGAAGAAATCCGGTACTTTATTGGCCGGGTTTCCATAATGGCAGTCCTACAGCCAGGCGGTAGGATCATCCCCACCTAAAGCACTTGGACTCAGAATGGGAAAAACCTAACTCCTAAAGAGATTCTGGGCTGAACAAAACAAAGGTTAACTACTCTCTCATTATGTTTCCATCCCTTGGCTGGCCAGCATCCATATAACCCTTCTTTCCATTTATAAAATTCTCGAAGTGGCCCTTGCCAATGTAATGCAAATATACCTCTACCAGAAAAATTTTCCTACCTCTACTCTAAAGGGAGACTGGCTCATCCAGTTCCTGCTTTCAACTTCAATTCTAGAATCTCTAAGTTATGACATGTTTTTGGTTTTGTCTAAATGTAGCTCATCATGGCTTGGCAACCTCTGGCTAAAGGATAAATTTAGCATTGCCAATTCACAGTGGTAGAGAGCAAACACCATCACTGCCATAAAACTTCCATTTGGAAAAAGAGAGAAGGGCAACCACTAAAGAGTGATCTCAAGTTCGCCACAATAATCTCATGCTGCTGGGCAAAGAAAGCAAGGACTCTCTGACCTGACAGTGGAGGGAGTTCTTTGTTCAGGAATCTGGCTGGCCCTTTACTGCTTTCTGGGAGGAAGTCCTTTTTCCACTGTCTTGCACAGGTATGTGTCAGATGGACACTGGGAGGTTTCTGTTCTAACAGCTAGAACATTTCAGTTCCTCCTTCCTGTTTGTGTGGGTTTGGACACTGAAAATTTGCCCTGTAAGTTAGGCATTCTCAGGTCTGTTCGGTGAGCTTTGGAATTTCACTGGCAATACCACAGCCTCTCCTGACAGATCTGTTGGCTGTTGGCTCTGTTAATTTCTTGGATACTCCCTGCAATGGTAACAAAGCCAGAGCTTTTGTGGAGTCAGGGCCCATCAGCCTGGTTCCAAACCTCACTGATTCTCCCTCTTAGCAATCAGCCTTTATGCTCTGCTCCTCTCTCTAGCCATTTGGACCTCACACTTGAAGACAATGGGCTGAAATCACACAGATCCTAACCCTCAGTGGTGGAATTCCTGGGTATGGCTTTTGGAGCAGAGTTGTACCTGCTCTCTTTGAATATACAGCAGCAAGTCCCTGGTTGACCAGGATCCCAACCTCTTTTTCCGTTACGTTTCCTGCTTGTACTAAATTTAGCATGGGGCAGAGATTTACACATCCTAAAGGTCAATGGTTATCTGCTCTTGGCCGTTTTGGAGGGCCAGGAGCAGGCAAAAAGGATGACTCTTAGGAAGGACCAAATCCCTTTTCCTTTTTCCTTCTGCAACTGCCAGATTAGACTGAAGACTGTTCCTTTCCCGTATGGTCTTACTGAAGGCTAAAAGAAGTAGCCAACACCCTCCAAAATTCGGGCATCTTTTCCCTACTTCCATAATACTCTATCCTTGATATTTACAGTCAAGTCGTGTATTGCATAATGATGTTTCAGTCAATAGCAGACTGCTTCTACGATGGTGGTCCCATAAGATTATACTTTTACAGTACCTTTTCTATGTTTAGAAGTGTTTACATACACAAATACTTAACCATTGTGTTACAGGTACCTACAGTATTCAGTACAGTAGCATGCCGTACAGGTTAGTAGCCTAGGAGTAATAGGCTACATCATATAGCTGAGGTATGTCGTAGGCTATTCCATATAGGTTTGTGTAAGTAAACTCTAGGATGTCCCCACAATGACAAAATCGCCTAATGACATCTTACTTAGAACTTGTTCCTGTTGTTAAGCAACACATGACTGTATGATTTGAGTTCAGATACACATTAAGCATCTTTTAACTGTCAGCTTTGCTTTCAGTGAACAGCATTTGCCTTTTGCCCTGCAATGGGGGAATCCTCCCTCTCACCTCAGCTTATCCAATGTCACATTTTAAGGTCTGTCATTTGCAACACTCCACTTCCAACTATCAAATACAGTATTTATTAGGGCTCACTTCAATGCAGATAATATAAATTCAGCTTATAAAAGCTTAAATAGAAGGAATTTCTTGACTTCCCCAACTAGAAAATCCATGTCTTCAAATATGTTGATTATAGAGTTCAGTATTATCAGTACACATTTTTTTCCACTTGTCCCTACTGTCTATGTTGGCTACATTGTAATCATTTTTCCACTTGTTAGCAAAGACAGCCACCAGCAGCTCCAGGCTGTATTTGCAGGCTGCATTTGCAGGCTGCATTCGCAGAGCTAGCAACACAACCAAAATTGTAGTTACAAACATTCCTTTGTTGGCCTGTCTGGGCCACCCGACCATTTCTTCAGGAATGTAGTACTATACTTAGTAAGTTCTGCAACACATGCCAACATCCTCTGGATCCAGAGAGTAGGATCAGCCACTTGCACTGAGAATGGCAGAGGAGTGGTTCTTCTGAAGAAGGTGCTAAATCAAAAAGCCTGTATTCCTTACATTAGGCAAGTCACTTTAAAGATGGGAGGCAGATACTAAACACAGTTTAGACTTAATTACATATTATCATGTACAATTGATCCTTGAACAACACGGGCTTGTACTGCACAGGTCCGCTTACATGTGGATTTTCCTTCACTTCTGATACCCCTGAGACAGCAAGACCCACCCCTCTTCCTCCCCCTTCTCCTCAGCTTACTCAACAAGAAGACAGTGAGGATGAAGATTTTGTGATGATCTGCTTCCACTTAATAATATAGTTTCTCTTCCTTATGATTTTCTTCAAAAAGTTTCCCTTGCTTACTTTATTGTGAGAATACAGTATATAATACATACAACATACAAAATATGTGCTCGTCAGTTATTTATGTTATCAGTAAGGCATGCAGTCAACAGTAGGCTCTGTTAGCAGTTAAGTTTTTTCGGGGGGCTCAGAAGTTTTAAAATTATTTTTCATAATTTTATTTAAAATAACAGTAAACCCAAAAGTTAATGTAATTATTTTAGTGAAACATTACTATATTTTCAAAACAAAAAAAAAATTGAGAAGTTTTACATTAAAAAAAACCTCACTTGCTTCATTACTATTTTTTATACTTTTGCAAATTTCTGTATTATCTGACTTAATAGACAGCAACTGAATTTTTATACCTGCTTCTGCTTCAATTCATAACTGTGTTGTTTTGGGTGGAAGAAAATCTGGCATTACAGTTATGTAGTTGGAAAACGGAGAAGTATTTTATTTTATTTTATGAGACCATCTCTCTCTGTTGCCCAGGCTGGAGTGCAGTGACGTGATCATGGCTTTCTATAGCCTTGACCTCCCAAGCTCAAGTGATCCTCTCACCTGAACATCCTAAGTAACTGGGGACTACAGGCTAATTTGTAGAGACAGGGTCTTACTATGTTGTACAGGTGGGTCTTGAACTCCTGGGCTTAAGGGATCCTCCCACCTTGGCCTCTTGAACTGCTAGAATTACAGGTAAGAGCCACCAAACCTGGACAAGTAGTATTTTAATAGCCTTTTTAGATAATTGTATATATTCTTTTATACTACACTAAAACTCAACAGGTGGTAATTTCTACATATGTAGAATCTGAAACCATACCAATGAGCTTTTCATATTCTCTTACATTGTAATCCATTGGTCAAATTTGCCCTTTGACTGTATCTTTTATCTATGCATGATTTTTTTTTTTTTTAGCATGCCTTGATTGTTTGGAAAATATTGGTTCACTGAGTTATGGAAATCTTCCAATTGTGACACATTTCATTATATGACATCAAAAATATCACACCCATTTTCATCAATACCATTTTCAGCAAAGTCTCTTAAGTATTTGGAAGCTTTCAAGCTCATAGTGGTGAATATAAATTTTCTAAGCTTCTAATTTTCTCTTGAAAGCTGGAATTATATTGTTGACAAGAAAAATTGTCAGTGATAGACTCACTTTATTAATTTTTGAGAAAATGTCTGCCAAACATCTGAATAAGCATAGTTTGTTAGTTGTTCATGCAAGTAAAAATGGTCCTTCACAAAAGAAGTACCTGAGTCAGCTTGCAACTCAATCACACATGCTTTTCCCCAAGCAGTCTTTTCTTGCAAAATGCAAAATGCAAGAAAAGTGCTTTAATGCTTCCTTTCTATGTTGTCACACAGAATATTAAAAATATGTACTTAGGCATTGAGATTTAAGAAGACAATTTTTTATTGCTTCATTAATAACATTCTTAGGTGAAACTTGCACTGTATTTTTTCCCCTACAAGTGCATGCCACTGAAGAGGACAGTGACTGTGGGTACAGTCGGGGACCACTGCTTTGACTTGTGCTATGACATCACAGTTTTACACAGCATTGTTTTTACACCACTAGTAAATATATCAACATAGTGAAAAAGGCAGATGACATCTCAATTGTATAAAGAAAATAATTTTGACCTCATAAACCCGCAGAAAGCATCTCAGATATGCCCAGGACTCTGCAGACCACACTATAGCTATATCTTGTAAGAACTGAAATAAATATACTTGGGGAGGTCCCACCAAAAAAGGACCCATGAGCATGAGGTGCTATTTTGGCTTGGCCACTGATTTTCATCTGTCGTTTTTGTCATTATAACAATACATGTCAAACTAGACTTTGAAATACTTGGTTCTAAATGTTCGAAAGTTGGGGATAAAAAATTTAACAAAAGATGTAGTTAAATCAGAAGACATTGCTCTTTGGCAGACTTGTGTGCCAGACAAATTTGAAAATTGTCTTTTATTTTAAATGATATTTTGTTGTTTAAGAATTACTTGATAATATTAATGTTTTGGTATTATATTTTATATCTGTGCAAAACCATATATAATTTTTCTGGCTCATAATATTTAATGTCCTGCTATATATGAATATTCATTTTTGTGAAATTACTTTTTTAAAAATGTGAGATAATTCTATATGAATGTTTAATTACTTATTAAATTATATACTAACTTATTTTTTAGTACTAGAGAAACCTGAGGATGGATTCTAGCTATACCAATCACCAACTAATGAATCTTCAGTTTTTACTGCCTTATCCTCAGCTTCCTTATTTGTAGAACATTTGCGACATTTTTCTAAGAATGGTGTAATAGTATAATAAAATGAAACTTAATGCTTTGCTGGCCACATGGAGGACATTCAATAAATATTTATTTTCCTTCTGCCATCAATTTACTGTTCCCAGTCTTTGTTTATAAGAGCAACAAATACTGGATTGTAAACTCACAGAATTAGGAGGGGGAGTGTTGGGCTCCTTTATTCAGTTCTCACTGAACACCCAAGCTGCTGTGAGTTGTACTTGGGAAACAGGCTTTCATTCAGGCAGAGTAATATGCAGGCTATAGCTGAAGGACTTTTTTGCAGAAGTAAGACCTTTCTAGCAATGTCTCAAATAGAGCAGCTATTGCTGCCATCTTCGTGGTGTAATTTATTTTTTATAAGAAGATATGGGGCAGGGTGCAGTGGCTCAGGCATGTCATCCCTGCACATGGGAGTCCAAGGCGGGTGGTTCTCTCGAAGCCAGGAGTTTGAGACCAGCCTGGCCAACATGGTGAAACTATGTCTCTATGAAAAATACAAAAATTACTTGGATGTGGTGGTGGGTGTCTATAATCCCAGCTACCCGGGAGGCTGAGGCAGGAGAATCACTTGAACCCAGGAGGCAGTGACCTGAGATCGCGCCACTGAGCAACAGAGCAAGACTCTGTCTCTCTCAAAAAAAGATGTGGAACAATTAAGGTAGGTAGAGGAAAGAAAGTTGATGTGGCAGGGTTTTTTGTTATTTTTAAGGTTTTTTTTAACACAAAAAATAT